TGGAAGGATTGCAGCACTTTCCCCCCATTTCTGCACTGATGCCCTGAAATTTGCCAAACCGCCCCCTGCAAGAATCTAAGGATGGCTTTCCAGCCTATTATAATGATCACCCACACAGGCTGTTAAGAGTGCTAATGAGGGAGGATGGCAAAGCCCCCTTAGCATTAAGTGGTTTATAATACCAGATAACGAACTCAAAGTATAAAGAGATTTTTTTTTTTTAGCACTCATGGCTCTTCCTGGGAACGTTCTTTCACCCACTATATTCTCCATCCATCCACCCACCCTCCCATCCCCCACATTCCTTACCCACAGTGGTATGATATCATCTTTATATTTTAATTAGAAATGGAGAATTTAATTAATAGAAGTGGGCCAGAAATTCTTTGCCGCTGTTGTATAGTGCCAAATGGGAAGAATCATAGCTTTTGGCATCTCATCCAAAACATGACTTTGTGTGGTGGAAATTTCCTACAAAAACTTTTAGAATTACCCAGTGCACCATACGTGATAATGTACACATATGATGTGAGTTTATTCATAGATAATGAAAATACAGTTGGCATTCAACAAATACAAATCATAAGTTGTTTTCAAGAATGTTGTCTCAACCTTTTCTGAAAGGTCCCCCAATCCTCAGGAACAGATTTGGGCAAACAGGGTAGAACTACTAAGAAAGAGAGGAAAATCAACTAAAATTGTCCGCCTTATCATTGTGCTAATGAATGACTTCATTGCATCAAAGAACTTCCTATCAGCAGAAACACCCCACAGGATAACACCCACTGTCTTCTTTGATAATTAAAAAAGTAATACATGTCCTTGGATTAACCTTTGTGTGTGTCAATACACTGCACGTATCTCCTAGTTGGTGAGAAATAGGCATGTTTTGCTTGCAAGGTAATCTTTAGATTAGAGATTCTAGAATAGCATGAACTTGCTTGGATTAAACATGGCTTTGATTGTTCTTGTGGTATACTGGCCGAAATGTGCTAACCAGTGCTGTGAATACCATTAGCAAGGAATGCTGTATATGCTACAGGAACAGCTAAGACTCATGATCTAGTCCAGTGTTTTTTCAAACTTGGCAACTTTAAGATGTGTGGACTGGAACTCCCAGCCAGCATGCTGGCTGAGGAATTCTACAAGTTGAAGTCCACACATCTTAAAGTTGCCAAGTTTGAAAAATACTGATCTAGTCCATACCTTTTTTTATCTTATAAATAACTGTTATGTGGAAGCCTTGACTGATCAAAGCCAGGAGGGATTATGGAGATCAATTCTATGAAGCCCATCTGGTGACAACCATGGCATATGGAAAATTTTATTTTTTTATTTTTATTATTAAATTTGTATGCCGCCCATCTCCCCCCAACGGGAATTTGGGGAGTGCTGCTGGGAATATAAGAGGAGAAAATGGTGAAGAGCTGCATTAACAAAGAAAAGAAAGAATGAAGATCTGAATAAATGTGGTTTGATTTTGCGGAGTTCAGCTAATGAATACATGCAAGAAGCGAAGGTGCAGGTTTAATTATTCATTAAAGGGCTAAAGGGTAAAATATACATCAGAAAGTTGGGGGACACATTATCAGAAAAAAGTCTGTTTATTTCAAATAAATTGTTTAAGTATACACCTATTCACAGATACAATAGCAAATGGAATGAATGTAAACATAAAAGCATGACTGATTGTGCACAATGAAAGATTAGGGAGAATTAGTGAAAGATACAACAGTGATAAGAGATACTAATATTTAGTAGTGTCAAGAATGGATCCTGAAAAAAATGGATCTAAAAAAATAAAGAAGTAAAAGAAACTAGAGTGAAAGTAGAATCATTTCAGGAAGAGAAATTAAACGTCTTATATAAAATTACTAAAAGATACAGTAATCTTCCAACAGAATGAATCAAAAATGAATGAAAGAAATGAGGATGTGGAAACTGCATGGAACAGAGTGAAAAGAATTATGGAATCCAATATCATAGAAATTGTGTGGAGTAATGACAAGTATGAAAAAGAACGTTTGGTGGAATTATGAAATAAAAGAGGTACTACAGTTAGTGAGGAAAAATGCATACAGGAAAAGGACTATTTCAAAAAATGAGGATGAGAGAAAGATACATTATAATGCCTACACAGAAAAAATGGCAACTTCAAAGAATGTAGTCAAAGAGAGCAGGATAAGCTTAAATTAAAAGGGGAAGAGAAAATGCAGAGTAATTTTGAAATAAGATTTAGGAAGTTTACAAAGTAGGTGAAGAGGGCTAAACAAGAACCCTCCAGCAGAGTGAGTGGAATTAAAAATAAAAGTGATTAAATACTTTTGGGTGAAATTGAAGTGACAGAATGCTGGAAAGAGTATCTTACAGATTTGTACAGGAATGATGGGCGATATGTCAAAGAGTAGAGTTGGAGCAAGTACTATCAATGTTAGTGTTCAAGAAAAAAGTGATGAAAAGAAAGTCATAAATGCGGTGAAAAATGTTGAAAAGTGTTAAGCCCTCAGGGCTTATGTAGATGCTATTATTGGAGAAAATATTAATATGGTTCCTTTATAGTGTGGCTCTGCAATCTGTATGTGAAGACTCCATCTGTTCCTGACACAAGAACACTGCTACGGTTCTCCTATACCAGCGTTTTTCAACCTTGGCGACTTGAAGTTGTGTGGACTTCAACTCCCAGAATTCTGGGAGCTGAAATCCACACATCTTCAAGTCACCAAGATTGAGAAACACTGTCCTATACAATGGAACGGTAGCAAGAGGAAATAGAAAAACTACATAGTTTGTCAAGTATATCTGGAAAATTCCAATCAAAAGGGTATGAAAGGTGACAATGAGAGAATCTGGAAAGTTGCAATGAGGATTTATGCTGGGCAAGGGGTGTGAAGAGCAGACTGTTGCTCTTCAGCAGGTCTTTGAGAAAGAAAGTTCACTGTGCACTTGCTCATTTATAGTAAAAGTATGATAAAGTAAAGAGACTTGAATTATGGATGGTTTAGCACACATATAGAGTTGAAAGTTGGTTGCTGAATGCAATAAAAGCAATACATGACAGAAGTAAAGCATGGGTGAGAATAAATGAGAGCCAGTTTGGTGTAGCAGTTAAGGCACCAAGCTAGAAACCAGAGGACTGTTTTAGTCCCAACTTAGGCATGAAAGCCGGCTGGGTGACTTAGGGCCAGTCCCCTCCCGCTCAGCCCAACCCAACTCACAGGGTTGTTGTTGTGGGGAAAATAGAAGGATGAGTATTAGGTATATCGCTGCCTTGAGTTATATATAAAAAAGGTGGGAATAATAATAATAATAATAATAATAATAATAATAGGATTTTTTTTTCTTCCTAGCATTTTTCCTGCAGGTGCACGGTCCACTTTTTTTGGATCACCAAATGTTGATCCATTGGTTGCAATAGGAATTGACCGACCGGCTTGTCGCCCAAGGTAACATTGTGGGCTGAGAGAGAGTGACTGGCCCAAAGTCACCCAGCTGGCTTTCATGTATAAGGTGGGACTAGATCTCCTGGTTTCTAGCCTGGTGCCTTAACCACTAGACCAAACTGGCTCTCTAATAATAATAATTGGAATGCTTAGTGAATAGTTCAACTTTGAGCAGAGTAAGAAAAGGATGTGTGATGTCCTCTTGGTTGTTTAATGTACTTAAATGTACCAACACACCTCCTTATACATGTATCTATAAGGAGGTGTGCCAGTTGGGGATGTAAACATGCATGTACTTTTGTATGCTAGTGATGCCATGTTCTTGGCTGACAAATCACATTATTTGCACTGAATGTTAGATAGGGTTTGTTTGTTTATTTATTTATCATATTTATATAGCCGCCCATCTCACACAAGGTGACTCTGGGCGGCATGATAAATAGAGTGCATGATGTCACAGGGAATAAAAATCTGAAAATTAACGCATCTAAGACGAGGGTAGTTGTGACTGACAGGGAAAATCGAGTTGAATAATTCCAAGTTATACATAAATATACTTACTAGAGCAAGTAGATGAATTTCTGTACCTGAGCAGAGGGTTTATTAAAAATGGAAAAATGGATGGAGAAATGTTAAGACGTGCAATGCAGTTAGAAAAGAAATATGTGATATTTTATAAGGAATACATGTTTGTTAAAAGAAGTGAAAAAGGCTGTATAGAAAAGCAGGTTTTCCCTACTTCATTATATGGGAGTTTTGTATATCATAAAGCACAAAAGTAAGTGGAATGGAGTATTTAAAAGGCGAGCAAAATAAGAACAGGTGAGGTCAAGAGAGAATGGATGCTAAATGAATGTCAGTAAATACAAAAATGACTGACCTGTACGAAAGATTGAGAGAATAATTGAGATGATTTGGTCTGACAGAGAAAATAATTACGACTGAATCTCAAAACCAATATATATAAAAGAACAGTCAAAAGGAAGAGGAGAAATACGTTTTTGACTGAAAATGATTTCATCCTCAAAAAGAGAGAGTTTTATGAGACATCCTTTCAAGGCTATTATTGGACAATGTGGTAATAACTGGGCAAATACTCCTTAAGTACCAGTATAACTAATTATATGGCATATCTATTACAATTTGGGAGATGAGGCATCCATGATCTGTAAAGTGGCTGGAGAAGGCAGGACAAGAAAACAAAGGAAAGAAGGTCATTAATGGCAAAGCATTAATTAGAGTAAATCTCTAACTGTCAATGTTAACATGGAGCCACTAGCTGAGGACTCCCAAGGGTGACGTCCTCTATCTGTTGGGATTACAACACCCCAAATCTTCAGCAGTCCACCTGGGAGGTACCCACTCAGCCCATGTTCCACTGGGTTCAGTCCCTGCTTTCATCTACTGCCACTCCAGAGGTTACCCCAACTGAAAAGAGACAGGCATACTTGCTGTTTACAGACATGATTATCACCTGTTTGGAATGGGCAAGACTAGAGGTTCAAATGAATCCTGCTGAGGAACTCTGATTGCACTGCTCAACTCTACAAATTTACTTACTCTTCTGGAAACTCCACTGGCTTGTTCTTGATCTTGTTGTGAAGCGCCAGGATGAATTCATCAATGAAGGGACACTGTAAAACAAACCAGTTTCCATTCTTTTTTGGCCTATACAAACCCTCCATGGGCAGGAACAGTCAAAGCTTAGGACCTAAGCAGCCTTTTCAGGACCGATCGTTGCGGTATTTGAACTCGTATATCAATATTCTCATGCACTCATAGTCGTAGCGATGTGTACATTTAGAAATACTATTTTGTTTTTCACTTATACAGTAATGGAAGCAATCTTTTCAGTTAAAAGAGCTAATGGTCTGTGAAGTTATATTTTGTGTATGGGGGGGAGTGTTAACCAAGTTACTAGCTGCTTTAATCATATTTATTATTGATATTTGTGCATTATTAAAGTGAATGTAAAGTCAGATCCATCCCTCCTCCATCAATTAGCACTTAGAAATACCGAATCTATCTAGCTGAAGCAAAGAAAGAACATGAAAAACAATAACAATCAATTTGCTCTTTTGAATTATTTCACTTATCTCCTTGAACATTTCACTTATCTCCCTGAAGCCTTTTCATTCTAGCTGGCCACAGTAAGATCTTTGTAACTAAGGATGTGCCTGAGACTGTATTTTTCTTCTACCCATCCAATCCTCTTCTTTTTCAGTCATTTCTCATCATTAAAAGCCTGATGGTAGGACATCTCTTATGAAGCTCTGCTAGGATTAATTTCTAGCAGTGTGGGAGAAAAATAAGCTACATTACAATATAATGTAGAACATAACTTCAATTATGCATATTGGAAACAATTATCTTATGGGAGTGCTTAACCCTTACAAAAAGTTAGTTTCCAGATACCTTCCTGGGAAGGTTACGCAATGCTTAACAAGGTGCTTAAATTCAATATATTAATGCATCTTTTAATATGCTTTACTGGGTGAAAGGGGGAGAAACCTAGAACAGATGATTTAGGAATGATTTATCTCTCTAACTCCCCTCTACAAAAAAAATAGCCCCCATTTATAGACTTCTTACCTTCCCATATACGAAACAAAAGAGAGTAATGCCCATGGCCCAGACATCCAGGGCCTGGAAAAAAGCAAGAACATTTCATTAATTAAGTTTATTCATTTTTATCCTGCTTTTCAACATTATTTTTCATTTTTTAATATTTTTCTTGGACCTGGTATGCTGCTTTGGGGATTTTCCCTCTCCTGGATATGTTTTTCCTCAAGTTTTTTTGTAGTTCTACTAACCTTGGAATTTCCCCAAGTCATGATGTTAATACCTGTTATTACCATCATGGTGGACAATATCATTTTTGGCAACGTGAGTATTGTGTGATGGAATGGTTTGGTGAAGGCCGCGCTCAGGGAGATAAGCATTTCCTTAGCCCTCAGCATGAGCGTGGGAAGGTTAAGAGGATGAGACTGGCACCACCCTAAGGAATTCGCGGCGTTTGCTTGCTGGCTTGGGAAGTTTAGATTCAGTCTGGCAAGATTCTGTTTTGTGGTTGAAAGCTAATAAAAGCTACCAAACTAGACCTGTACTGTCTTGTGGAGTTCTTTGGGCTGAACCTGACATATTGGTACTCACAGCTGAACATCAGAAATAAAGGTAATGATTCTGATTCTGAATCTAGAAGGTGGGCATGTTCACAAAGCTTCTGAAATGTTCACAACCTTCCCATGAAAATCAAGAGAAATGACGTCTTATATAGAACAGTAGGGCGAATAGGGTGAATAGTAGGGTGAAGAATATGTTGTTACTTCCCTCCAACTGAATGGGTATGTGAAAGCAATATAAAAAAATGAGGATGCTACCTTTCCGCTGAAGCTCTTTCCAGAATCTGAAATAGCTTCAGGGGCCATGAAGGCTGGTGTCCCAGCAGTGCTGGAGAGCTGGGCATCACTGCCTTCAAACTGATTGCTCACTCCAAAATCAGCGATTTTGACATGTCCATCATCCCCCAAGAGCAAATTTGATGGTTTGATGTCTCGGTGAATGATCTTCTGATAATGCACTGGAAAGACAAAAAAGAGAACATGCTGTTCAAAGGAGGCTAAAGGTGTATCATCTCCCATTCCATATTATCTTGCAAGAATTCCAGACAGGAAGGTTGCTTTCCAAACTCTCCTTTGCTGATTGTCTCTCTTAATCTTGGATTAACAAATTTCCTAGAAATGAAGGTAGTCACACTGGTTGTAAGAAATGTCAAAATTGTTGTAGGACAATATCTGTATTAAATCAGCTCGCATGCCACAAACTAGCATACATATTTTCACACCTCCAGATCACTCCATCAGTAAGACCCCCTCAATTCAAGTGCAACTTCTGGTAACTACATGCACCATTCATGCCGTTTTCTTGGCAAAAAACAAACTTTTTAAAGTAACTTCTCAATGTAGCCTACAATCCTGGGATTTCCTGATGGTTTCTCACCCTGTTTAACTTTTCTTGAAATCAACCAAGGTTAGGTGGGCACTGCCATCTGGTCTTCAATAGGCAAGATAGTACAGGGCAATGTAGTCTGCCTTTCAGTTACAGTTTTAAGAGGAGGCTTCCAACAATTACATTAGTATTAGATTCAGTGTCAGATGGCATGGCTGCAAAATCAGCCACTTGTTTCCCCAGAAAATTATTTTGACAATCGACAGAATTCTCTCAAAATTTTCTCCAGTCTGGCCACACTCTTCCCATTGCTGTTTCCACTTCTGATCATTCAAAAAGAATATCTGTATGTATGTATGATTTTTTAATGATTTATACATTGTACTTCTATCCATAGGTTTCTAAGATAACAACTTTTAAAAACAAGATATCCTCTGGGGCAATCTGTAGAAGGAAATATGTTACAGATTAATTATTTATCCAATTTATATCCTGCCTTTCCCTTGGTAGAACATTCAAGGCAATTACAAAAATGCAAAGAGATTTTTCAAAGGATAGAAACAAGATAATTAAAATCAACTTAAACTTTGCAAATATCAAAATTATTGACATTCAAAAACTTAGCTGAAGAGATAACCCTAATTGTTCTTGTAAAGGCAGACAGAATGAAAGTCTGAGCACAGGTCCCAAGGGAGTAGACTCCATTACATGGAAGCAATGAAGAAAAGGATAGATTGTCACAGGTAAGGGAGGCAGCAAAATTTATTTATTTAAAATTAGGGATGTGCAAACCTCCCATTTGGAATAGTAAATTCTTGAAGACCACCAGACCATCCTCAGAACTACCAGATTGGTGTGGTCTAGAAGAAAAATGTTCCATTTAGGAACAGTAGCTTTTTGTCATTATAAAAACCTAAAAAATGTTCTTTGTAAAGGCCAATGGTTTTGGAAGACAGTGCCTGAGAAAGACATAAAAAGATGATTGAGTATGCCAGCACTAGGCCCTGGCAAACAAGGGGAAGTTATTTCACTGGACTGCTGCCTTCATGTCATCCCTGACAATTCATGATCTACAGCAGAGACAGCAGGATCTGTCTGTGGTCCAGATAGAGGTCTGGAGGTAGGAAGCAATTTCTGTGACTGGAAATGTTATTTATAAAGAACATGAAGCTTTGGTGGATTTTTGAAATGCTCATGATAGCATTCATTGATGACTCCTTAAGGTCAACTATAGATATATTTAAATCAAGTTCCACTTTCAGTAATAATAAGAGTCTGGAATTTTCAAATTCAGATCTATTAGAGAACAGAATAACCTCACTTTAACGGACTAATTGGAGGAAGGTTGTCTATTATTCTGGAACATCCATTAAATCTGAAAGTGCATCATTTGTAGACCACTGGCATCGTAGGCATTAGATGGTATATAAGCATTGTCACATATGTTGTAAAATCAAACTAAATTTAACAGCCTTGTCCAGATTACTTCAGATTTAGTGGACTTGTCTGTTATTTGGGGGGGGGGGAGCAGAAATTCAGACTGAAATTTTGTCCATTGTATCTACTAAATAGGGTCTATCAAAGCAAGTTTTTACTATACTGTTTCCACATCATTTTCTGCAATTCTATTTCAGATACTAAGTCCTTTATTTTTCATTTAAGCACTGAGGAGGTTGATTTGTTTTATTCTATTTTCAATCACTCTTATGACAACTGTGAGCAATTAAATTACTGTTGTTCACTGCAATGAAAAGTTTTATTTATTGAAACATTGCTACTCAGCTTACTGAATTATATTATCATTGACATATTGACTAAAATTCTGATAAAAGTTTAAGGAAATAAAAGGTTTGCTCAGGCCAAAGGTCCATCCTGTTTCCACAATGGCTCAACACATGTTTCTGGAATTCAACCAAGAATGAAGAAATGGCAAAATAACATTTTCTTGCAAAAACTTAAAGATGCTTTATCAGAAAGTAGTCTCAGAGAGGTTCTATGCCATAAATCAGTGCAATTTCATATATATCTAATCACCACCAAGTTCGATAGAACATGCTTTCAAATGAGTGTGCCCAAAAATCAGTTAAATGAACTGGTGAAACAGCATTGAGGGAGGGGAGCCATTTGATTAATCTACTTCTCTTGAAATGGCTGTTTGGTTTCATGAATTGCTAATTATCTCCTTTTTTGGCAAGTTTCATTTTGTACAGGGTGGAAATTAAGATAGCATTTGCTTTAGAAGACCATGACTCTGCGGCTTTTGGCAAAGATACAAAGGACCTGAAATTCTTCCTCCTTGCAGCAAAAACTTCAGAATCTGTATGTGATCTGCATCTCTAATACACCAGAAACACTGCTGCAGCAGCTGGACTGCAGTGATTAGGACTTTTATGGATCATGGGATGGATGTTTGTGTATGAGAGAGAGAGATAGAAAGTTCTTTATGGATCAATTGCCAAACAACAAATGGGCGTTGTTTTAATGTTAGCAAACAGCATGATGGAGAGTACTACTCTAAACTGCGAAAGATGCTAACATGTCAAAATATATCATCTAATCATCAAAGGCACTTACTATGTTAATAAAAAAATCATTTAGGAATGCTTAAAACCCCCAAACTTTTATGATTTCCAATTAACTGGCCTGATCTAGCCAGGGTTGCCTGATGGAGCAGGTGCCCCCATTTATTTGTTTATTTATTAAATGCCCAAAATCTCACAAAATGTTGGCAGCTTATAAGATCAGAGTTGGAAGTGACCTTAGTGGTCATCTAACGCAGGAACTACTAGAGCATTTTTGACGGATGATGATCAGTTCCCACCATCCCACAATGGGAACTCCATTCTACCTTGTCTGCTCAACATGCAAACTATGCTGATATGTTTGAAAAGGGGGAAGCATAGACTGTCTTCCAAGTACTGCAGCTGTACTATCAATTCCATTCCTAGAGCTCAGATTCCCACAAAATGCCTCTACCCAATGCCAAATTATTGAGCAAGTTAACCTGCCTAAAATAATTGATCAGTAAGAACTTAACAGACAGTGCTTATCAACTCCGTCTCCTCCCCACCGAGTCCTCCTATCTTTGGGTTAGCAAGAAGGATCATTCCTTATCTATGATTACTGGATCCTGGTTACTCTATCACCATTCTGAACACTTAGAACGACTGCAGAAAACACCCTTTTTACCAAGGTGATTCTCAGACCTTGCAATCTTATTTACATGAAAAAGGGGCATAAATGTTTAGCTGCATTCGAGTCTTGCTTTGTGAAGTTTGAATATACAACAGTGCCCTATAGATTGGTTAATGTACTTTCAAGCTTCATGAAATTATGAACGATATTTTTCATGTTCTGGATTTTTTTGACTGTATAATTGGAATATTTTCTCATTTACTCTGAGGATCCTGCTCTCTACACTGTGCAATTTCAAGCAGTTTTTCAATACCTTCATGACTACAGCGTCTACTCTAAGCTAGAGAAATGTGCCTCTGATCTGCCTATATTGGACTGTTTGGTCTACTGTGTTTCCTTGAAAGAAATGCAGATAGATCCAGCTAAATTAGAATCTATTATGTTTTGGTACTCTGTTAGGGCCATAGAGTATTTTCTGGGCTTTGTCTAGTTCTATCATAAATTTATTCCTAATTTTGCTGTACTAATAACACTGCTGACTCATCTTGCCAAGAACAGAGTTCTCTTTAAATGGGATTCTGGCATGCAGAAAGCATTTCTTCTATTCCAATAGGCATTAGCTTCTTACCCCATCTTCTCCTGCACATTCCTTTTCTGGTAATTCCTTAGCCAAAAGGAATTCTATGTTTGAAACAAAAAAATTTACATACTCAAAAAAGCTATTCACCATTAGTGTCACCTTGAAAGAGCTGAATGCCCTATGGAGAACTAAACTGACCACAAGAATTTGGAACATTTAGAGGTTTCTCACAGATTCACACAATGCCAGGCAAGATGGGCACAATTTTATTCTCATTTTCACTTTTAGATCTCTTAGATTCCTAACTTACCAAACAACCAGGCAGATGTTTTATTATGTAAGCCAGAATTCTGCTTATTTGTGACCCTACTCCTACCTCCATTCTGCACCCAGAGATCTCTGCCCACACCAGCATCTGGCTTACCTTGTGAGACTCATGGGGGCAGAAATGAGACTCTTTCCCTGTTAGATAAAATCCATAATCAACAAAAATAGGAACCAAGTATGTGGGTTGGACAGATGATCCTCAGAATTCCCCCCCCATCCCCCCCCAATCTCATTTTTTCTTTTTGTGGGAATAAGAACTGCATCATAATGAATGTCTGGATGTCAAGCTGTATGTTCTTTCTTCCTTGGGGGAAGACATCTTCAAGCTCTGCTGTAAGAGCCAGCCAGCTGGAGTACTTAAAACTACCTATCTCCGATGTCAAATTTATTGCTATGCTTGGTGCGAAGTCTTACAACTAAGTTTCAGTTTGAGCAAAGATATGAAATTAGATTTGCTAAAAGGGGCAAAATAAAAGGTAGGTGAACATCTACTGAAAGGTCACTGGGTGATCTGCAGAAGACGGCGAGATTTTTAATTATTTAAGAATAGTTATAACACAAAATCTTCATCCTCCATCTCCCATCCACAT